AACATAACTCAACTGAGCTATATTATCGTGCAACAGATCACGGTGCGCATTCTTTATCTGACGTACTGCACAGTAAATCTGAATTCTTCCAAATCAGCGTTCTGTATATCCTGGACCGACCCGCTAGCAGCACATTCGAGAGGAAACTGAATCTATTGTCTCGTTCACAGCGTGCAATGATGGTTGCAGCGGCAATTCAAGCCCTGCATGCCCGACCCAGCCATAAGGTCTATGTAATACCTTTCTGGCCGCATTACGGTCAACCCAATGTGGCTGCAATAAACGCATAACCTGGCCCCCTCCGCTGTGTAATAGTAGAACAGGTCAATACCGACCTAGGTGTGCGCCCTGTCACTCGAGTAGAAAATATTCGGGCGTATCTGTGAGAATTAACACCATACGGAGTGATAATACTACTGCTGTGATTTCAAGGTGCATCCAACCACCCGACTTGGACTGCTGGATCCTATTTTTATGATCAGGCAGCGTCGAAATGATAAAATACTGATGAGGCGAGGGTCAGGCAGCCCTGTTCAACGACAACGTTAAGTAAGTGCAGGATCATGCATTGCGTCGCCTACACCAAGAGACTTCTGATGTACCGAATATCGGGTACCAGAAGCTGCAAGTGCGACAGACGAAAGTAAGAAAAAAAAATCGTAACTCGTCGTCAACAACATTGAAAGCGGAGATACAAGCATAGCGAAAGATAGAGATATAGACCGTAAATGACAAAGTCGCACGTAACGTAGATGAAGGTCGTGTCAAATACGAGGAAGGATAGAGATATAGACCGTAAAATATGACAAAGTCACGCGCAACTTAGATGAAGGTCGTGTCAAATACGAGGAAGGGTGTGAAATAGTAGATGCGAACAGGAACGCGACGATGTGTGTAACCTTGTTACGAAAGACGAGAGGAACATTCAACATTCAACTGGGGATTCGAGAAAGCATGGCATGCTAGATAAAGACGTGATGAGAGAATAACAAAGAGTAGGGTAGTTCAGGATGTCTATCGATATATGGGCTAGTTATTGTTCAAGAAACTTCGTGGCATGTCAGGCATGAAATGGCCGTTACGGACGTGAGGATTCGTATGAGCCATAATTGAGTGTTGTCGATCGCCGACGACCAGCGTCTCTGTTCAGTCGCTGTTGGTCGCGTGGCCCGTTCGTTGGTGTGGTTGGGAGCTCGGACAAAAGGGTTGGTCGTAGGTCGCCTACGCCCTGCAAAGGGCTGAGGACCGGTGGGCTGGGCTCCGCCAGCGGTGCGCCCAAATTTCGTTGCGAATCCATATTGCTGACCGCCTCGTGAGACATACTCGCTCGACGGCGAGCACGACCAACCTGTGCCACATGACCCGAACTGTAGGTCGTAACGCTGGGAAGAGGACAGGACGAAGGACACGCTTCCGCGGGATCAGCCAGGACATCCACAAGCGCTTGCTTAAGACGAGCACGCTCTGTCATAAGCGTCAGAGTACGTGCCTGTGACGATTCGGACGTTGGAAAAATCTCAGAAGGGTCCGCTGCAAAGCCTGTACCCATACGCCGGTCGACATCAGCAGGTCTGGCGGAGGCGGACGCGACACAGGATTTATCGCACGATGAACGCGACGCGTCTAGTCTGAGGGATGCACGGGAGTCGTCGAAAGAACGCAGCTCAGCATCTTCGTCGACGGGTGAGATAACGCCAGTGTGGCGCACAGGCACGGAAGCTGCGTGATGCCGAGAGGGGCTCAGATGTATACTTCCCGTGCAAGTGCAGTACGAAAACTCGGACGAGGCTCCTGATGAGTCGATCGTAGGCGTGGTATCTGCACCCTCGTCGTCTAATTCATGCGGCCGTATACACGGAGAAAGCACAATTGACGGAGAGGGGACTTCGTGAATGCATCGCAGGGTGGGGGCATCGCGACGGCCGAACTCAAGGTCGGAGTTAGAGAAAAAAGTGTCCCATTCTAGACGCGCCGTGCTCGTGCTCGTTGGCTGTGTGGACGCTGTGGAACCAGCCAGCTTGCTACTCCGTGTTGTCATTGTCGTATTGGTGGTGGCGGTGGTATTGGCGGAAAACGGATGGGAGGGACTCGTGGAACTGAACGATGCGGACTCATTGGCAAAAGCCTGCGCGTTATCTGCCAGACATCCAGACGGATCGACCAGAGACGCAGACAAGTCGGCGAGAAATGCAGATTGCTCGGCAAGGTACTGAATTTCGCCTGCAAGCTCGACCCGGTCTTCGTCCCCGTGCGATGCCACCAACAAATCGATGGTCTCGCCGACCCAGCAAAGGAGTTCACCAATATAGACACACTCATCAAGCTCACCACGAACAAGGCGAAAAGGGTCTACCCCGTCCAGTCCAACGTCCATCTTGAGCACGTCGGTTTCAAGGACGCCGAGAAACAGCTTCATGCATTGAAACTTCGTCTTTTGTGATCCTTGCGGCGAGAAGAGGTCCTTACGTGTGGATGCAGGAATAGGAATACGCATGCGTAACACAGATTCTAGTGTCGCGAAAAGTAGAGATGGTGTGAGCTCGGTAGGTGAGATTATGCTGAGCGGAATATGAATCTGCTCGAGCAACGCGTTCATCCGACGAACAAGCGACGCCGACTGGGCGGTGCTAGCTGCAGGAACCATCTCAGGTCTACGCGTGGCGTTTAACGTGGAAAAGAACGAGGCTCGAGCACCAGGACATGGCGGTTGAAAGGAATTGATGAATGTTAGAATAAACATACTGTGACTGTATTTGGTATCATATTTGCTTCTGACCATCGTGCGCACTTGCTATTTTCTGTATTCGCAACGTTTCAATCCTTGGAGTGAGACCATCTGTGCCTCTAGAGTGAACATGGCCAAGGGCAAGAACCTCAATCCCGCTGACGCATTCCGTGAGTGAGCTAATTGCGAGTGCTGTCATCCATTGGATGCTCATGAAGTTCAGGCAAGGAACAAAGGAAGAAGGAATTGAAGAAGGCACGCCACTTTCACTCTGCACTTGACAATGTTCGCTGATGTCGATGTGTCTAGTAGAACAAGGCTGCACGCCAGAATGCGCGTGAATTTGCTCTTGTGAAGAAAGACACCACAGGTAGACCTCGCTATCGTCTTCTGGAGCTCTTGGACCCATTGTGTCTATCTAGAACTCGAGGAGGAAATCGAGAAACTCGACTTATCTAACAGCGACAATGCCCGCCTTAAGGAGCTCCGCGCAGAGCTCGCCAAGATCAATAAGAAGAAGGAAGAGTATGTACAGGAGCATCCCGAGCAGCGGCGGCTCGTCTACCACCCGAAGAAGACTGCTAGTGGTTCCAAACCGCAAGAGGAGCTCATTCTGAACAAACGCAACCTCTTCAACAAGCATGGCCTGCCTCGCCATCCTGAGCGTAGTATCTACTATGACCCTGTCATGAATCCGTATGGTGCTCCCCCACCAGGCATGCCTTACATTGAGCGGCGTGAGTTGCATTCGATGCACACTATTCCGTTGGTTCTGATATAGGGCGCAGCGCTTCGACCAGACGAAGTGGATAGTGACGCCGATGATAATGACGGTATGATGTTCCTGCCGTTCTTCTAGCATACGTTTACGGATCTCGTAGACGACATTCGAATGCCCGAGGGACCTGCTCCAGGTCAGGAAGCAGTCGACAGCGACGACGACATTCCTATGCCTGAGGGTCCGCCTCCTGGTGCCCAAGATGGTACATCTGTTTTCGCATTTTCGCTCATGTCATTTTATTGACGTTGTACTGTAGAGTCTTCGATGCCACCCTTACCCCCAGGGCCTCCTCCAGTTCAGGCGGGAATTCCCGCGGTGCCGCCTCAGCCATCAGCTGGGCCATCGCTTCCTAGTACCACGCTTTTGCCTCCCTTACCACCTGGTGCTCCACCAACGGGTGCAGTCCCGCCGTTCCTTCCAGCCGTCCAAGGAGCGTTATCATTGCCTCCACCTCCACCAGGATTTCCTGTGGCATCGTTGCCACCGTCTGGCGTTCCAACAGGTTTGCCGCTACCGCCCCCGCCTCTACCTCCAACATTTGCACCACAGCTCGGCTACAATATGCCGCCATTCCCGCCCGGTTTCGGTATGCCTCCTCCGCCACCAGGATTTTTCCCGCATCGACAACAGAATACGTCGGCGATGCAGGATCCACTCAGTGGCATGCCACACGTTGCATACCAGGCGCGGCGAGCCGCGCATGGGCCTGCTCCGGTTTCGTCGTCGCTTCCACGGCCACCCAGCTCTCTCCCGCAAAAGCCTGTCACCGTTCCAGGTACTGCTCCGTCTGCGGCTCCAGTCAAAACGACAAATCCGGCGGTGACGGCTGCTGCGACGGTAAGCGCGGAGCCGCAGCTGCGTGACTTCAAGAAGGAAGCAACGGCATTCGTTCCCGCTAGCCTTAAGCGTAAACGTGCGGTCGAGAATAAGGGTGTGACTGGAGGAAGAATAAATGCTGCTCCCGACACTGCACAGAAGGCTGGTGAGGGGGCTGGCGCGGACGACAGCAGGGACACAGCAGACGGTCTCGCTGGTATCGTACGGCCCGATCTCGCAGGCGCTTTACGTGGTGTGGGGGTTGTTCCAACCGCTGTGCCGGCTCCGCCGCCGCCGCAAAAGAAGGCAAAGTCTTCAGGAACGGTGAACAACGGACCGGATGATTATGCGAAATTCGTGGAAGAGATTGGTGGCCTCTTGTAGTATTCGTCGCGATACTAGTCGACTGGTCAATAGGTTATTGTATTGTGAATTTTACGCGTTGTGAGTACCGGTTACGACCAACACGCACAAGAATGATGTCTCGAACGGGTATTCTACGCTTTATCTCATCTGGTGACGCCCATATTCTTTCAGACCCGAACAAGCTGAGTACATCACCTAGCGGAATGTTGTTTCTTCCATCCCTCTACTCAGCTGTAATTACAGGAAGAAGTTTCAAAAAAAAACAACCATAGCTTGTGAAAAGAGGAACTCGCCTGATTCGTAAAAGTTAGTGGCGAGATGGCCGAGCGGTCTAAGGCGCCAGACTAAGGAGACCAGCTCGTTTGACGAGTCTTCTATCTGGTCTTTCGGGGCGTGGGTTCGAATCCCACTCTCGTCATGTGCAAAACATTCCAGGTGTGTGTTTTTTTTTTTTTCATTTGGGTCTGCAGACAACACAGCGCTTCGCGCTACGCTGGTGGTTCAAGTTGCAGGTCATATCTGCATATAAGTCCCTAGGATTGTTTCGGTCTCCTTCCTCGCAATCTGCGGGGCTGCTAGCTAGGTAAGTCGCTTTGCATTCTACTGAACTGTAAGTAACCTTGAACAGCTAGCCATTCAGTGCCATCGTCTTTTGCGCGGCTTCTAAACACTAAAATGAACGTTCTTGTTCTAATGTCCTCGATTTCCTATCCGGAATAATGTACGATGAAAGCATCTACTCTTGGAGGTTATGTCAATTGTCAGCCATCGCCGCCACATTTTCTTTGCTTTGACGAGTCGGGCCTTATTTTTTCGAGTTTCAACAGATCCTTACCGCGGGACGTACGTGTACAGCACTACAATGAATTCATTCTGACACGCTCAAGGAGAGCCACTGGGCTATTGAAGGTCAGGTGAAAGTACGTGCCGTTTGCCTCCTTGTCATGTCCCTGACGTGGGTTGCCCTCTGCAAGCTGTTTTCACTGCTCGTCAGTCATCTCTTTCTGTCCGCGGCGATATTTGCACCTCCGCGAAGTCAACAGCAGACGCTAACACAGCTGTGCAGCGCTGAATGGCGCCTGCTTCAAAGGGTGCGAATTTCTGAACATCTCAACGCTGAGCTCAGTATCGTGACCATCATCTAGTTAGCCTCTATGGGCACTATCACTGTTGCCACCGCCATTTCCCGATGTCGTTCATCCCGTCGGAAGGGTTTCTCGTGCCCAGGTCCAGCTGTGGGCTCCCCACTGTTTGCTTGCGCGGTTAAAGATGCCCGTGTGTGGCTCTTTTCATTCGATGAAGATATCTTCATCTGTCTTGAAGCTCGAAGTCTCAGTATGTTCTGTTGCTCGTGTACCTAGCCTGGCCCGGGCAAGTTAAGGTACACAGAACTTCGCTCGATCTCGTGGCCTTGCTGCAGGACTATATATACACGACTCACGCTCGATATCCCAGATTCCCAGCTACCCAGTCGTGTTCCCATCTGGTGCCGAATTTCTTCTTAGCTTGCTCTGCAGCGGCTAGTATGAGGCTATTCTTCCTATCGCTCTTTTATTCCTTTGTCGCACTGCTGTCTTCCGCCTGCGCACAGGACCGTAGCTGCCCAGAAGGACTCGTCAGTCCCACCTCCGGAGAGGTGCTCTACTTCGGTGAGGTGAGCTTCGAAGAGATATTTGTGTATCTCTCTACGCGAGGGACCTACTCTTGTGAATTTACTCATCGCGAACACTGCCATTTTGGACAGTGTTGAATGCTGAACATTTATCATCTGTGTTTTTATCATTTTTTCCTCTATAATCAGCTACGATGTCACGGTTTTGACTGACCACTGAATAAAACGTGCATATCTTGGCTAGCCCTTCACGCTAAATTACACGTCGGATAAGTACTTCCTGGAGAGTACGATTTCCGTCTCCGTCATCATGGACACCATACTATCCGTCGACTACACGGCCTTGAACGAACGCTTTGGCGTATACCTCACGCTGACGGACAACACAACGCTCGCCGAGAAACATCAAGCCGATTGGTGAATGCTACAATACGGCGGCCATTTACAGTGTACAGCTCATGCCGCGTACGTTCGTGGGCCAGTACGTGAACAACACCCAGGCTGTGATCATGATTATTGAGCAATACAATTCCGTGGTAAGCACGGGGTCCTTTTGCTTCCTTATCTTTCTTTTCTGTCATATTTACTCATATTTACTGACCGCGGGTTCGTAGGGAGGCCCTGTCGCGCTCGATTTCAGTAACAACGTGACCGTCACAATGCTCTGCGGAGATGACCTGTATGAGTGTTGAAGTGCGTCCAATTGCTAACCTCGTTCCTGAGGTCAATATTGAAGTCTTTCTCAGGGCGAAGTTCTCACCTTCGATGTACGGATTTATGTACCTGGAGCTTCCTTCATCACCTTTCGAACTATTTTTCCCCTTTCATATGACTTTGTGTACTGAGACCAGTGGTACAGCGATCATGAACCGTGACTCGGATTTCCTGTCGATCTAGCCCATCCGATGCGTAGCAGAAAGTTACATATGCGTCGCGGAAGGTGGCTAATACGCAGTGCATCATTCCGTTGAGCTTGCCGCGAGTGGGGCCACCTTCGATACTCATTTGATGCTGGAGTTGTTTCTTCAACTTGTTACCGCCCCTGTGCATGCCCCAAGAAGCCTGCCTGGTAGGTTCAGATGAAACTTTCTTCATTCATACTTGACGTTAGCTGTGAACCTAGAAACTCTTGGCTATGTCTTTTTTATTCGCGCAACCGCTCAATCATACCGCGGAGTAAGTACGGAGTCCCCAAATCGCCGCCTCCAATATGTACTACAGCATTGGCAGACGTACAATTAATTCACTACTACTGAACGAACGCGCATCCAGCCGGCCTGTATCACATTGGTTCTTCAGCCTACAAAACACGCTTTGGATGTCAACTTCGAACGAAACTTCGCAGTCGTTTTTTTTTTCAGGCACACGATAGACTGGCATCACGTGATCCTCTAGCAATTCCTGGTCATTTCCTTCAACATACAATGTTTCTTGGAAGTGTTTATCTTGGTTCTCTTGAGAGTCATGCGGGAACAGCGCGTCCGCTTTAGGACGGGGGTCCTGTTTATGACCGGATTGCTACTGGAACACAAGATTACAAACTGTCGTCGACCATAATTATCATTAGTCTCCTACGAAAACGGAAGTAAGCAGTTCCATTTTGACGATTATCATGTAAATGGGCTGCACTCATACCAGCTAGTCTCCCGGGCCCATCCAGAAACTAGTTGATCTCCAAAGGCGTTCTGTAACAGTAGGCGGCCCGCGACAGGCCTGTCCGGGTCAGCTCAGACTAGCGGCCTGCCTGCGGCGTGTTTTCAACGTCTTGATTTTCTTCACAGTTTTGAAGACTATCATCGAATGTACCAATGCACCAATGTTCTAAGAAGATACACCACCGTTTTGTATATAGCGTGTCTCGAAGAAGGCATTAATGCTGAGTTTCAGAGTTGGTACAGAAGGTCCCGAATCAATGATTACTCACGCCACGTCGCGAATTTTCAATAGTGGTTCGAGAGATGTTTTTGTCGGCTGCGAGAGAACGTCCTGGCCCATCGCGTTGTCAAGAACCCTTGAACGTGGCTGTGTGCTGGCTGTCCCGTTGTCCTCGTTCTGAACACCGGTTAGATGCCGGACAGACTGCGATGATGGCATCATTTCACTTCCGCTCGTCGACGATCGTTCACCGTCGCTTGGCCGCTCTCCAAGCTTGCTTTTAATTTCCATCATCTCTGGTTTGTGCTGCTCGTTCTGGCCGACAAAATGCCAATTTTCTGCATCTCGACGGGGGAATGCAATGCAACATATCTTCCGACATTTCCACGGCAACATCGGAGGATATGCCAAATGCGGAAAGGCGTCTCGGCCACTTGAGAAATTGTGAAGTGGCACGACTTTTGAACGGGTGAAACGATGAGAAAAATCATGAATGCGTTCTCGGGTCTGCAAAGGTCGAGCAAGGCCGCGCCTTTCAACGGCCATCATCATCTCACAAGCGGTCGACCATCTCACCATCCTCTGAACATTCTAATTGTCGACTTAAAAGTAACCTGAAGTTCGTCGCCACATCTCTGCACTCTTCCTGTTACTAGAGCCGAGTCGTCTGTAACGCGTGGCCACTGGCTAGCATCACTTATCATGTCTTCCTCTGTTGCTCCAGCCAGCCGACAAGCCTCCATCAACGTTGCTGACGTTGCCAAGCGCAGTGCCCGCCCTTTGGCGCCCAGGACGTTCTTCATTACTTTCCTGGCATTCCTTATGGGTGTCATCGGCATCCTCTGCGTGAGTGTTGACGTGTTTGTTGCTAATCTACTAGATACTCATGAAGTACTTGCAATTACGAACAGAGTGTCTTCGGTTTTGGCCACCGTTGGATGAAGCCACCGCAGAAGCGTGCGGACATTGACGAGCGCTGGGTGCGCGTCATCGTTCGGCCGCGTCAATCTCCCGAAGCAACGTCGGGACCCTCAACAGCAGCGGCAGAGCCTCAGCGTGACGAGCTCAAGCTCAAGATCCGTCGTCGTCTGTTTGCGCCATTCACGCGCCCACTTGAGCTCATGCCCATCAACATGCCCGCCAAGAAAACCCCTGATCGTCATGTGTCATTCATGGAGACGCGGGAGGTTGCTTCACAGTCCGTTGCACTCCTACTCGACATGGATACCGTATCGCGTTCCTCGTCTGACTCTGGCTCAAGTCAAATGAGCGTAACTGAGGGCGAGCATTTAGACGCGCCTGTTTCAGCCAACACTCGTCGTGGATCCAAGCTCGCTAAGCTTAAGATTGGCAAGAAACACAAATCATCTTCTTCTAGTTCTGGTGAGCTTCCCATTTGATGTCTATTTTGAGGTCTCACGTCTCACGGTTGTGCAGGTGAACCGGAGAAAACTAACCACAGAGGCAGCTTGTCATTCGTCAAACCCAACAGTTGGCTGCCCTGGACACGCTCCAACACTGTATTTGATTCGCCGACCGCGCTAGAGCCTCCCGAAGGCAGTCGACCCTCAACACCACAATCTTCCGGCACGCCTTCTCACAGCCGCGCGGCAACCCCAGCGCCTAGCCGTCCGCCATCCCCGTCCCACTCTCGTCACTCTTCTTCGCCCATCCGTAGCATGCCTCCGCCTACAATTAAACCCCCGACGCCACCCCCGACGCCTCCGCTCCCTTCCTCGAAGACGCCGCACAGTAGAACCATACCGGTTTTCCTTCCATCCTCCAAGAAGCAAAAGCATCAGTCCACGCCGGTTGCTCGCACTCAACCATATGCGTATCCACACTTCGCCGCTCCTCCTGTGCCTCGTCCTGTTGTGGCTCCACTGGTACCCCACCGCGCTCCCGACGCGTCGACCGCGATTTCTCCTCGC